CCCCCCCCCCCCCCGAGCACTCACAATCTACGTCGACAAGAGTGTCGCCGTAGACTCCGGATATTTTCAGTTCATTGCCAAAGAAGGATGGCATGACGCGCAGGAATGACACCTCCACCACTTTCACGACCCTTTTCCGTTGTCGCCTTCGTCCTCCTTCCGGTCGCCATCGAAAGGTCCAGTCCCCATCCAATCCATCCTCGCCGCGACGTCGGTCAAGGGCGGCTTCTCGAGGCGAGTCAAAACTGTATTTGCGGACTGGAGTATATGTCGGCGTCAGCTGAAGGACTGCGACTCTGTCACCATGAGCGTAGGCTTCGCCACGAGTTGCGAGTACTACGACGCCTCCTCGTGGGAGCGCACGTCGTCGCCTCTCATGTGCATGATCCACATGCATGCGGCGAGAAGCAGGCGGAAGGCATCCCCATATTTGCTCAACCTTGATTGGGACATCTTTCCGTTGTCGGACCATTGGCCGCCTCGGAGCGCATCGTGAAAGCAGGAAGCCAAATGCAAAACCGTGGCCTCTTGATGGGCAGCCATGTCATCGTCCTCGGGCCTGTCCTTGATGCAGGCCCCCCCATGCCACAATGGAATGCCCATCCTCAGAGCGAGCGTGTGGTAAACAACACTAGGGGACACTACCCTCGACCACTCCACCCCCTGACGTCTTTAAATCGGTCAGTTAATCAGTGGCGACATACGACTCGGCGCGGGTGAAACCGTCGGATCTTAAAGACAACATGAAGATCCACTCGTGGATGACGTGCATAGCGACGTTCTCCGTCCTTCTTGCTTGTCCAAGGGTTGCGTCCCGCTGTGCAGGATCTTGGATTCGCAAACGCAGAACGTCAGGGGGTGGCATGATGAGGCCACGCGGTGCGGTAACCGCTGCATCACCATTGGCGATTGCGCGGTAGTAGTCGTACTAGTCGGCAAAATCGTGCTCAGCGTCCACGATCAGGCGACCAGGTCCACTTCCCCAGAATGTCTTCCCGTTTGTCCACAACTTCGACTTCGCTTCCAACTCCTCCTGCCGCATTTTTTTCTTCCTCATGCGAAGAGACTCGTCGTTCTCGTCGTCCGATCGCGGAGTCCCATCCCTCCTCTCGTCTTTCCTCCCCGCCTCATCGGGCCCCCGTCCTTCTCGCCATTCCCCCACAGCGGTGCTCGGCCTATGGACAGCACCGCTTCCGAGTCCTGCGTGTGACAACAGGACGACTTCCCTCGACGACCCGCCCATCGTGTTTGTGTTCGCCGACTCCACGTGGCGCGCTTGTGGTACATGAACCGTTACGGGTCCTTTATCCGCACGTTCAACAGCGGACACGATCGTCGTCGTTGAAGTCATGGGCGTTTGTGGTGCCAACTTGCTGATGACGATCCCTTGAGAACGCACGCTTCCACTTCCACCACCATGACCAATTCCTGGCACACCAAGGGCGGCTAGTGCTTGAAAGTGCTCCCTGCTTACGCCGTCTCTCCCAAATCTAAGCGTCGACGTCCCCGTCGAAGGGATCTCCATGACTGAGACATCTTCTCCCACCTGGCCCCCTCGATCCGTCACCGCGAGCGCGGCCTTTTCGAATTCGGGACGTGCCCCCTTCCGCTTTGCCCCCCCCCGCCTTCGCCGGATCCGTAGTCTCGCCTTTTCAACTGGGACTATCCACGTGGCGCCATGCGCTAACGATCGATTTTTCTCGTCCCACAACTGAAGGCGAAGTGAGTCTGGCACGTGTCATGGGCGGTGGCGGATGAATAGATCGTGAATTGTCCACGTACTATGCCACCGACGGGCGCGCCTGTGAGGATAGCGAAGGTGTATAGCGATAGCGCAAACGATGAACTCCTGGCGCCGTGGAAGATAGCCGTTAGGCGAACAAGGAATTGACGCCTACGAAGTGTAGCACATGCGCAGCAGTAGACCTGCACTGACCCTTATACTTCTTAGATGGACCTTCCCCTGCCCCGGCGCGCTCCCGGCGTGACGGCTTGAACTTCCTACTTTCGAAAAACCAGAATATATATATATATAAGTATATATACATACATATATATATATATATATAAACCGTTCAACTACATGAGCGATCCAACCGTCGACTATGCCATGAACCACGCTCCTTGAAGGAAGACATGCCGACTCAGGGCTGTCACTGCGGCACCAACGGAAAACAAGCGAGGGATGCAACGTCAACGTATACATCGACATGACGACCGACCGCAGAGCTGAGGCGGCATCAGAACATATCCCTGATGGCTTTCGGGATCTTTATCAATGCATTGCACATCATCCTGTTCGCCTCGTCGGACGCCTCGTAGTGCCGCTTCTCGGTGTCGACCTTGCGCTCGAGTATGTCGCACTGCCGCTCCGAGATGGAACACTGCCGCTTGCTTGCGCCCTCCACAGTGTCCGCCATCAATGCACCGTGCTTCTCCGAGTCCATGACTTTGGCGATGGCATCGAAAGCCAGCTGGCGCATGTTCTTCCTCTTGCCAGAGCCGCCCATGCTGCCTGCACTGAACCCGGACTCCCGCGCCGACCCTCCACCTTCATCGTTGCCATCACCCACGTCTCCTCCTCCAACGGATTCTCCCGCGACCGATGGCGGACGTTGCATGTCCCCCAGTATCTGCACTTCACAGACGCTCGTGTCGGCAACGTTGTCTGGGTAGATGGTTTTATTGCCTTGAGACATGTTGTCGATCTCAAGGTACACTCGCTCATCCATTCAGAAGTTGAAGCCCTCTTCCGTTCTCAACGCAGGCGTTAAGTTGAAGAAGTTCTTCCCCCCGGAGGCGTTCTGGTATCGTTGCACCTTCTTATACTGCTGGAAGAGGTTATCCCACTTCTTCCCGATGTCATCAGTCGTCCTTTTCACGCCCACCTCCACCAACCGTTTCTGCAGGTCCTGCAGTTTCGGTTCCCTGTTGCGCATGCGGCCGTAGTTGTGCGGCATTCTATTGAAATAAGCTTGCTGATCCCGCTTCGCCCGAGCGAGCTTCAGCATCTCCCCAACACTCCAAGTCGGATGTTTGTCACCCTTGTTGCCTGCAGGTGCCTTCGATATTCGACCACCACGGAATCCCCAATTTTGTTGACACCCGCATCCACCCCTCCCTCTACCACGCACGCCCAGGGGATGAATCTCCAACTCTTCTGCATCGTCCGCTTCGTCCTCGCAATGAAAATCTGAAGATTCGTCACCAGTCGCCCTCCGGGTATCGTCCGCATCCACATCGCTTCCAACTTGAACACGCATCCTTGACACCCCGTTCGTTATGTTCTCAGCGGTCGGTCCGTGCATCTGTTGGCGACAGGACTCCCACACGTGCCTGCCAATTTCTTCCGGCGGGGTAGTGGTCGTGATCGCCGCCGGTGCGGCCACCTTTCGGCGTGGTGGGGGTGAAGGCGTTGCCGAGTGAGCGGTTCACACTGTCGTCGCCTTGTTGCCAGATGTTCCTGCGCCTCGAGAGAAGGAGGGCACCGGACGACACCCATCTGCGTTGCCATGCATCGGACACGACCTTCCACCACGCCCCGCCACTTCCGCCCCATGCAGAGACGTTTGTCCGACGGTCGTGGCGGCAACGTGTCTTGATGCACAATTGTTCGTAACCAGTGTAGCAGTCCCGCTTGACAAGCCGAAATCCAAGTCCACAATCTCTGCGTCGCCTCCGTCGATACCCTCCTCCAGCATTGCCGAGAACGAGTGGCGACTTCTCTCTACCTCCCTTTGTCGGCAATTGCTGCCCATCCAGTCCTGTGTAGATCCGCTCCCCAGTGACAGAGTGTGGGACAGATCCTCCAGCCACACCTCTTCCGGTCCGGCGGTAACGGCTGCTCGTGCGGTGGCAGATGACTGTACAACGTGGGGTCATACGCAGGTGCACGACGCACCGCTACCACCGGGTTTGGAGTGGAGAAGTCGATCGCACGTCTGTGCAGTCCGCTGGAGGTTTCCCGCCTTTCCATCGTCGCCTTCCTCGTTGTGCGTCGTTTTCGTCTGCTCCCCGGACCCTGCACGACGACACACACACACAGCAAGACCACAAGGAGCAGGAGAAGAGTGGCCAGCAGCAGGAGCTGGACCCGTCGGAGCGCGTCTGCCATGAATCGCAGCAGGCGAGGAGTGCATCGACCAAAGCTTGCTCCCGTGCGCCTGTCAATGCCCGACAATGCACGATGCCAAGGAGAATTGCACTCGGCCAGCACTGCTCACAACTGTTGGACACCACGCCCGACAACGCGCACAAGGAGAATCCTGCCACATGAACCGCCTCGGAGTTGAAGAACCACCCCCACGCCTTTACGTGCCAACGGTAACGACACAACACCGTTGAAGGCTCGTTCCCTACTTGAGGCCGGCGGTGTCCGCCCGTCTGGACCACGGACGACCTGTGCACCACCAAAAACTCCAAATTTTGGTGTCGACGCACGCTCCACGACGATCCGTCAATCACGGCTCCTTGAGCCCAAGGGACCTCGGGAGGACCCGTTGAATCCAAGGACGTTTTGGCTGGCGATTCTGAGGAACCCAAGGAAATATCTCGGTAGCGTTTTCACATTTGTCCAAGGAATTTGATGATTTAGGACGCGGTGTAACGGACTTGGATTTCGTAAACATCGGATTTCCAAGGAGGGTCTAACGAGGCCCTATACTATTGAAAACTGCAAAGGGCCCGACGTAACACTTCCCCAGCGGGCCCCGAGAAATTCGGTGCCGCTCGGCAGTCCCTGTAAAACTGCGAAGGGCCCGACGTGATGCTTCCCCAGCAGGCCCAGAGAAATTTGGTGCCGCGCTGCAGTCCCTGTACAAGGGAACATTGGTGTCGCGCTGCACGCGTCGGGAAGGGGTGTTAATTTAAAATTAAAAAAATGGCAATGCATCTTCCCACACCACATTCTGGCGTATTTCGCAGCCAGGAGGCTGCGCTATACCGTTTGCATTTTGTCGCGTAGCGAGGACGTCTTTTTCAGGAAATGTTGATGACGGCCAAAGGGGTTTATAGGGCGGTAACATAGGTAATTGAAGGGTGCGGTCGCTGTCGGGGCAGAGACTGGTAGGCCGGGTGGTCGCGAGTGTGGTTGGAGGGGAGCAGACCAGCGGTCGGCGGGCCATTTTCATGGACGGCGGCCGGTTTTCCATTTTGGGCGATATCGCGCGAGGGTGCGATTTTCGGATTCGGAAGGCTGAGCCGAAGTGGGTTTGGAGGTGTGCACAGCAGAATGCTGGCGGCAGTTGGGGTGTTCGTATTGCTGTCGTAGTAACGGATGCATCTTTCCCTTCTGTGTGGGAAGATGCACTGTGACCACGCAGTGCGCGGGGGCGCAGCCAGGGCAAAGTAGTTGTAGCGGGGATGGACAAACTAGTCGTAGCGGGGATGGACTTTTGTTTCTTCTGAATATGGGAAGTGACGAAAATTATTGATTGAAATAAGAAATTATAAGAATTTGTTTTCGTCTCTACTGAATGTGGGAAGTGGTGAAAATCATTGATTGAAATAATAGGGCCTCGGGGCAGTCACCGCCACACAGTATTGACGAATCCTGCACGACATTTGCCAGGACTTTGCAGCACTTGTTTCGTGGGAGCCATGCTGGTGGTAGTCGTAGGTGGATTGAATAGGTTTCACCTGTCTGATCCGTGGTTTTGAAGCGTTTTGACACACATAGGGTCTCGCTCCACTACTCTAGACTCACGAAAAAATTCGTGAGTGCTTCTAGAGCTGTCAGAGGTCTAGAGCTCATGAAAAAGGAGGCATCTAGATCATTGTAGTCTGGATAAGTAAATTGGTTTATCTCTTGGTTTCTGAAGGATTGGTTCGGGTCCCTCTTGCTGGTCCCGTGAAAAGCTTAAGCTGGGTAAGGCTCCCAGATTTCATGTTCTCCGGGTAGACTGTGAGGACCCCGGCCTCAAAGATTACTCTTTTTAATAAAGGTGAGCTAGTTAAAAAAAAAAAAGAAAAAAAAAAAGGAGGAATCGCTCCACATACTCCAGACTCAAGAACTAAAGAAACACTCACGAATTTCTCAGCGCTACATGACAGCCCTTCTACAGCGCTACACGACAGCGCCAGCTCGCTCTAACGGTCGCGGCAGGAGGTACACTCACGAAAAAAAGAGGCCGGAGCGGCGGCAGGAGGGAGGCCGCTGGAAATCGTGAGCGTCGCAGGCTGTGAACTCTATACTACTCTAGAGTGCCCTTCGAGAGCGCCTTCTGACAGCTCTCGAAGGGTGTTTTCATGAGTTAAACTCTAGAGTAAGTGGAGCGAGGCGTTACTCTCGAAATTTCGAGAGTCTAGAGTAGTGGAGCGAGACCCATATTCTAGTTACTTCGTAGAGTTTGAGTACTGGACATCTGGAGGCGAGAGGCATTGATTACTTCCCCGAAGGAAAGGATTGACCTCTGCGCCTGCTTCTTCACTGAGAAATCTTCGAAACCCTAGACCATCGGTGACACTCCAGGAGAGGAGCCACCGTACACATGCCGGCAGTCCATGGTACAAGGAAAGAGAGAGCAGACCCTAGGTTAAAGAGCACAGACACCCCGGAGGGATACACACCACAACCCCTAGTGGACATGATCCAATACCTGGCACTGATCAGGCTCGCCATACCCCCACCACACTCCCCAATGGAGCGAAAGTGGTACCAATGGTTGCTCTTGCTTTCTTTGGTTGTATTCCTTTGAGGGTTATCCAACGACTCGACTCACTCAGATGCGTATTTTCCTCTTGAGGTCTTGTGATGGTAATGGTACATTGTTCGTTACCAAGCTAAGGATAACCTAATGTGTGTTTTACACACACTGAAAAAAAAAAAAAAAAACTTGTATCCCTCTGCATCAAACAAGGACGGATATACATGTACGGTGCACACAACTCACCCCCAGGATCCAAGCCGTCTCAAAATGCAACCTTCCTGTCCGTGCCTATAACATTAACGCAAACAAGTACAGTACTGTGCCCCCCGGTCTAATCCCCACCTCCGGACATCACTCAACAGAAAATGAATGTACATAACTTAAACTAGAGGATCCCAGCAGGCGCAGAGTGACAACGCCCTGCGCACCAGGGCCTTGGGACTTGGTCCTCACCATGAGGTCCCTGTGGAACCACCAATTCCATTACGCTAGGTCCGGGCCTAGGACCTGGGGACCGAACCAGGCCCTTGGGACTGCCGGTAGGTCCTTGGCAAAAGGTCCCTGGGACTCCAGGTAGGTCCTTGGCCATCAGATCCCTGTGACTACTGGTCCCCTTTGGCTGCACACTGGGACTGCCAGTGGGTCCTTGGCCCGCAGCTAGGTGGCACCATGATGATACTGATGCCCAGGGCTCAGGGCGGCTTGAGGCTAGAGACAGCTTGAGGCCCGGGACTTGGGGGGGCTTGGGCACCTTAGGCGACCGGACGAGTTGCAGACACAGGCCCACAGCGGCAGGCCGTGGAACAAACTTGGTGAGCGAGACGTGGGACCAACCTGGTACTTAGCAGTGCACAGTGTAACTAATTTCGTATTGAGCGGTGGGACGGTGGGATCAACCTGGCACTTCGCGACGGCACAGTGGGACTACGCCCACTGGGCCATGGATGGTGATTGGCCTACCGGTAGTCTGTTTACCGCATATCCTGGAGAGGGGCTCCAGGCAAAGGCACAAAAGTGGGAGTGGGATTCAGTAGGTAGGGGCTTCATTCTACGACCCTGGACTGGACTTGAAAGCGTAAACCACCAGTACCTTGCTCAGCTATTGAATCCGGGCCTGAATTTCCCTGCGCGCCGAATTTTTCCGAGCCTCTGTCGTTTCGTGAAAAAACGGGGTACCGGTACCGGTACCGCTCGTTGGCACTTCGGCCTGAGGGCAGGTCCATCTGAACGGACAACAGATGGACCTGTGTTCAGGCCGAGTTGTGAAGTAATGCATTTCAGTGTTTTTTTTTTTTTTTT